GGACTGTCAAACATCGGCTCACCTCTGTGGTGGGCACAGGGCTGAACAGTAAGACTGTGCACAAGGAGGAAAGGTGGCTAGGGCTAGGTTAGCCCCACGGGCCCATGTGATCCTGGAAGCTGCTATTCCCTGGCCTTCGAAGGCTTCATTATTCTAGCTGCCTTTAATTCAGTGAGCTTGTCCAACATCTATCCATAAATGTCCCTTTTTTGCTTAAGTTAGCCAAAGGCAACTTATATTGCTTATAACCAAAGAGAAATTGGGCTTGCAAGTGAAGAAGAGGTAGAAGTGGTAGCCCTCATGGTTACACGACACATTTCTTCTCTCTATCCCTTTCATTGAGACATCCGCTGTTTAAGAAATTACAGTAACTAAGATGAGAATGCTTTCACTAGGGGGCCCAATAATGGCTTCATTAATTGTGAGCTAAGGCTATCTGGGGCCCCTCATGCAGCCAGGCAACAGACAATAAGTAAGGTACAAGGTGCATAGATGGAAACTGGGAGAACCCTGTGGCACCTTTTTGTACTAATGCTAGCAATGAAGTTACCAGTAGCCTTTTGTTACCCTGCACAGGCAAGATCTGCAAGGGCCCAAGTCTCAGGAATAAAGGCTTGCCAATCACATGTGTCTGACTCTACAGTCCACACTCTTCAACACAGCACTTTCTATTGATATCAACCTACTTGCAGCTCCTTAGTCAAGAAAAAGCTCCTTCTTATTCCTGTTACCTGTTACTTTGCCTGGAATGTTCATATCTACCTTCTAATTGGGAACTCCTAATTATCCTCTTTGAAACTTTCTCTGGTCCTAGAGATTAGCCCCAGACATTCTGAAGTAATATTTCACAATGTCTTAACACAACTACACTATGTATGCTTATTGGTTTTCCCATTAGACTGAAAGCTTCTAAGGGGTAGAAACCACATCTTTCCTATTTGTATCCTCAAAAATCAGTAGTACTCAAGAACCAGTGTTCAGTATATGGGAATGACAAATGTCTATTGAAAGAAAATCTGGTCTTTCTTAATTTTCCTTGGTAGTAACCACTGCATCATAGACTTTGCATACTTACCTTTAAAACTGTGTTCTATCCCTTAATTACTTGACATGGTATTCCTAATCCTCCCCTAAAGTCTAAAAACTTAAGAACTTAGTCCACACCATTCTGTATTCTCTTTAGCACCTAAGAGTGTTGGGCACATGGTAAGCACTCGATAAATACTTGATGAACTGAATTAAAAACACAGTATTAGCATATTAATAGGAACAATTTATCATGCCCTACTGATCTAATTAAAAGATTTGGCCTCCTGAAGAAGTGCAGTTGTGACCATATGGAAAATTTAATGAGAAAAAGAAAAATTATCCAATTGGATAGTTAAGAGCTTTTCTCTTAGAGTTCCACAAATATTTTATGGATAATAAACCTCTAGAGCTCAGAGTAAAAGACTCAAGGTATACATCCTCATACATATTAGAAGGATGATTACATGTTTAAGGGGTCTGACACAACCATAATTACATAAATTCCACTAACCCTTAACAAATCCATAATAGAAGTATAGGACAATACTAAATAGCAAAATTGATTAATGTCATATCAACCTATGCTAAAGACGTATATGGTTATTTTTGCATAATACATAACCAGGTAGTCATTAACACATTCAATGAACCTTTGGAGTACCAACTAATGACAAGTACTACATTAGGTCCTAGGACTACAAAGACAAAGAGAACACAGTTCCCATGTCAGTGGAGTTCTAGCTTCGCCATGCTGCAATGGTATTTAAAAATACAAGTGAGTCTGCCAGTTTTGGGATCACAAGCAAGACAACTATGAAGTTGTGACATTTAATAACTGGGGAAGAAACAAGCTGATGGTATGTGCTGCCCTTCTGACTGTCATTCACTGGCAGATTGTCTAGCTTTTAGCCATCAACATTTCATTAAAAATGTTCGAAGATAAAAAGCACTTGATGTAATTTATAAATTGTGCTTTGTTAGTTGCTTACACTATTTAAGTAGAATATTTTATATGGAAATCAAAACTTTTAATCATGTAAACTATATATTGATATTTAAAAAAAAATACAAGTGAGTCGTACCTCCTAGAGTTGCTCAACGTGGAGGCTCTGGGGCAACAGCTTGGTAGAGAAGGCAGACAAACACTGCCTGGTAGAGAAGGCAATGTGATTAATGTCAACACAGAAATAAGTACAAGATATTATGGGGTCATAGAAAAGAAAATAATTAACCTCCTGAAGAAATCAGGAAAAGATGTGGAAAAAAACTGACATCCATACATGAATTCAGTGTGAGTTGAAGCGTGAGCAAGTTACCCCAACAAACATCTGGGATGGAATCAAACCTAAAACTATGGTTGCAAGCAGACTCAAGACGATTCCAAAGCAAATCAATCAACTCAAAGCAAACCACTGCAGAAGAGTCAAAAAACCAGAATACTCCTTGATGTTAAGTTTGAGAATAATTAAATGTATATATAAAAGAAGTTAACCACCATGGTATCCACATAAAGGGAGTCTTTTAAACAATACATGGCATAAAAGTTCAAAGATAATCAACCACTAAGATACAGAGCTGTCAGGAAAACCTACATAAAAGTAGAGCTAGAACACTGTTCACCATGTACGAACTTATTCACTATGTAAGAACTTGTTCGTTATGCTTCAGAAGATTGGAGACTGTTGAGAATTAGGCTTGGGGTTGATTAATTGTGCATTGAGTCCCCTATACAGAATTTTATTGTTGTTAACAACCATTTGATCAATAAATATGAGAGATGCCCTCTCAAAAACAAAAAAAGTAGAGCTAGAACTATTGTCAGTGAGGAGAGGAAGCACAGGGCACAGGGAAGGGCATCCATATGCTGAGAAAGTCCAATGTCAATAACAAAAGTGAGGGATTTGAATTACCTATTTGTGGGACCAGGTGTTTCAACGCGATGGGGAAAACATTGGACACATAGATTCAGAAAAGCCTGGAACACACCCTAGTAGTTTGGACACTGTTCTAGACTCAAAGTAGTTCTCAACTCTACATGCTGAACAGAAATATCTGGGAAGCTTTTAAAAATATCCTCTGGCTGAGGCTCACCCCACATTAATAGTAAGGGAATCTCTGGGGGAAGTGGCCTAGACATTGAAATGTGAAAACACACAGGGTGATTTGGCTGTACAATCCAGATTGAGAACTACTGGGCTAGATGTCAGGTAAGCCATGACAGATGTGGTTAAGACCAAGATTGATTTAACTGTTTATAAGCAACAGTTTTGAGCTGGTTACCTGTTGAAGATTATCTTCTAACCTGAGTTAAACATTCTCAGCTTTCTTAGTGTTTCTTTTCCCTTGTTGACAATGCTAAGCTCTAAAAATAGGAAAATAATCCATTAATTTCTCTCACATGACTGGTTCACTGCACAGTCTGCAACATTATAATTTTATTTCCATGATGTCCCACAGACCACTAACTTAGAAAATAATTATTTCAATCCTATGCTGCCCTTAGATCCCTGAAGTGAAGAGCTTTCATATTAAAGAATGTTCTGGGCTGCATCCATGTCTAGGTTCTACAAAAACTTCTATAAAGCTTCTCTTTTATATATATATACACCTATGTATACAAAAGTCATATTGCTTAGAGCAAAATGTGAGGTTAAATATTCATTATTTAAGTACCCAGAGACATTATACTGTTCCTGGTTTCAGATGTGCAATGATTAAAGTATTTTGCTCATTTTGTAACAAATACTCAGAGTACTTCATAAATAAAGGGAATAACAGATATGTCCCATACAGCAACACTGTACTGCATTAAATCAGTGTCCTAGGTGGGAGGAAAAAGTCATCAGGTGTTGGAAGAGTTATGACAACCCGCTGATCCTTTAAAATGCAGGCTTGCTTGCCTGCCTGCTTGTTTTTAGAGAAAAAGCACAGGTGTGAATGTTTCAGGATCCGTGTTACTCACCCAAGGGTTTATTCAAGAAATCTGCACTTTGTTTATTGGTAAGCAACTGTCTTCTTTACTACAAACTTAAGTTACCCAAAACTGTCTTGTTTTGTGTGGTGTTAGGTGCCAGTACCTACTGGTAAAAATGGCAAGAGAATGTAAATTGGAAGCCTATCGGTAGGATTCCACACCTAAGTTTATGTAGTCTCTTGTTTCCAGATAAAGTTAATAAACTCAAAGAACCAAATCCCAGTGTAAGTCTGGGGGGCGGGATGAGAGGGAGTAAGGAAGGAGTAAGGGGGCAGAGAGCATGAGTGCGGGAGAATCCAACGATCGAAATGTTAAATACGAAAATCGGTCCAGAAACATTTCTTCAGAAATTTGGATCTAGATTTCAAGAGACTGCCGTTCGCTTCCACCGCTCCTACTCAGAAAGGAAAATAAAGGCTTCCAAAAAGAAAACGCAAGCCTAACTCTCCGACATAGGGGTGACAGTTAAAAAGCAAGTCGCACGAGTCTGACCAGTGGGTCCGAAGGAAATTCGGAGGTCAAGGAAAGAAGACAGGATGAAGGAGACAGGAAAAGGTGAAGGCGGCAGGCAAAGGCCATCCGGTAAGAACCTGGATGTCCGGCTCTTTATGCGCCCAGGGCAGCGTGGAGCCTCTCCCGCCGGGCGCGCATCTGGGGGGCCTGGGCGCAGGGTGAGTCCCCCACCCGCCTGGCGTCAGGAAGCGCGGGACGCCGGGAGGTCAGGGAGAAGAGGGGTGCGCGCACCGCCCACGCCCGCACCCCTCCAGGCTCCGCACGCAGGGGTCCCCACGAAGGAGGCGCACTCGGTGCACCGCCCACGCCCGCACCCCTCCAGGCTCCGCACGCAGGGGTCCCCACGAAGGAGGCGCACTCGGCGCAGCCCTCGCCTCCGGGAGCACGGAGGGGTGGGTGGAGCAGAGCCCGGAGCCGCCCCCGCAGCCCTGGCCCCCGCCCCCCCCGCCCGGGCTGTCAGTGGCCCCCTCCCGCAGTCACTCACCCGCGGGCTGCGCGGTCTCGGCCGCGGCGGCGGCGGCGGCGGCGGCGGCGCCCACCTGGGTCATGATCCCAGGCGGGGACGGCAGGAGTGTCCGACCGCCGGGGCGAATCTCCGTCCGCGGCCGCCGCCTGCTCCTCTGGGGCTGGGGGAGCGCGGGCCCAGGCCCTCCTCTCCCCCCGCCCCCGCCGCCTCTTCTTGCGGCCACCGCCGCCGCTGCGAGCCGGAGCCCTCAAGGCCGGAGACCCGGCGGCAGCACGGCCTCAACTTTCCCAGCCCCCTCCCCCCGCCCTTCCCCGCCCCTCCCGCGGCCGCCTCTTTGCACGCGAACAGCCTACCCTGGGTGCACCGCGCTCCCGCCCCTGCCACTCAGTCCACCAACCCGGCCCCAGGGAGGCTGCCATAGCAGCCAATCATAACTCGGGACACCGTTGCGCCAGGCGAGGGGCGGGAGGAGTGGAGGGAAAATCTTAGAGTGAACGGGCCTCGGGCGGCCCAATGAGGAGGGCCGGGGGGCGGAGGTGTGCAAGTTGGGTTGAAGGAACAGGAAATATTCTTAAAGGTAGAGTGATGGGCAGGAAGGAAAGCCAGTAGGTGAATGGGAAAGAGGTGGGCCTGGTTCCTTAAAGAGGACGCCTTGAGAACCTAGAAAAGGAGATGTTTTAAGAGACTTCTTTGTACTATGTTCCCTGTTCTGCTTTCCACGTTTTTAGGTAGGTGTTTGGAAGTGGAAAACTGAAAAGAAAGAAGGCATGGAAAGCTCTCAAGAATGTTTAGAGAGCTCCTCTTAGTCTAGAGGACATAAAGGCGGGATGATGCCGGTGTAACAACAGGTGAGGAAGACAGGAGAAGCCAGACGTCTCCGGCTGCTCTTTCACTGGAAGATCGCTGAGGACTGTCGCTGCTCAACTTTGTAGGCTGAGGTCATCTGGCATCCTTCATTTGCAACAAAGCAGGTTCCTGCGAACTGCAGATGACCGTGTTCAGAAATGTCCCGGGGGCCTCCCTGTTGGGGAAGAGAGTATGTGGCATTGGGGGATGGGGCTGGGAACCTCAGGCGGGGTTCCTAGAGACCTAGATCCGAGACGTGTAGAGCTGCGGGTGATGGAATAGAGACCCGAGGGACCCCCAACTCCAAGAAAGGTTTAGAGCCCTGAAACTGTAGTCGCAACTCCGCCTTACTGGTTTCGCTTCATATTTCATAGCACCTTCCTTCCTGAAACAGGTGTCCTGCACCTACTTGGTGGTGAAAGATTTCCAAACGCTTCCACAACCAAAGTTTGGAAATATCCCAGTTCTTACATGTCCATTGGCTAGACCAAGTAACTTCCAGAAGGTGCACGTGGGGTCTAGCATAATGGGAATTACTTAAGCTTGTGTACAAAGAAAGCTTACCTTGTATTGAGAAAAAGTGTAAAGTTAAGCAATAACTATATCTTATGTTTGTAGAGAAGTTTAAAAGCTTTGAGGAAACTGAAGGACTTTAATGTTGCTTATAATCTATGGCACTACAAACAGTCTGGAAATATTTTTGAACACTTGCATGACATATGAAGTTCTAATTAGCCTGAATGGACGTAGCACACCCAAATCAAAGGCACAGATGAGAAAGACCCAAGGATTCAGAGCCTAATAGTAATGCTAATAGCTCCTCCACGAAATTGCATAGTATTAGTATGTCCAGCTGTAGAAAATAATTTCCACTGTGGTCAGAATATAAAGTATTCTGGTTAAAAAATCTATTCTAGTTAATAAATGTATCTTGGGTATGTATGATTTTCTAAACTACGATGCATTGAGTCTAAAGTAAAATAACAGTTTTGATTGCTCAGAAAAGAAATGTTTCTTTGGAGCACCATTAAAAACACACATCAATACTTTTCCGGCATAATTTATAAGTGTTAAATAGGAGAAATTTCTGTTTGATAAAAGGTCTGAATGTTAACTTTTTGGTTTAAGCCTCATCCCTAATTGAAGTCCAAATCCCAATCACGGGATGTTTTCACTGGTTTTGCCCGCTCAACACTGGTTTACTGCTCTAGATATAAGCGGTTGAAATCAAATAATGGCATCAGTCCTATTTTCGTGCTACCTGGCATGTGCTTGCCAGACCTATGCTGGTGATAAAATAGGGTGGCCAACTGAAACTGGTCTCCCTGCCTTTAGGTTAAGTCCATTTTTCACACACCCTGAGTGAATCTGATTTTCATCCACATACTTGATTAAGAGCCTTCAGTGTCTCTAAAAGGCAATTTACAAGACTCACAAACCCCTGGCCTGCACTCCCAGTTTTATTTCGTGACATCTTGTTTTTCCTACTTCTGGGAATGAATGACTGCGGGAGGGGGCCACTGACAGCCGGGGCTGCAGCCAGGCTGCAGGGGAAGCTCTGGGGGTCGGCTCCGGTCTCTGCTCCACGCACCCGTCCCCGCTCCTGAAGGCGAGGGCTGCGCAGAGCGCACCTCCTTCCTGGGTAGCCCCGTGTGCCGATCCTGGAGGGGTGCGAGCGACGGTGCCCGCACCCTTCTCCCCGACCTCCGGGCTCCCCGTGCCCCCTGGTGCCAGGCCAGCCGGGGGCTCACCCCGACGCGCTCAGGGCGAGAGAGTCTGGACGCTTGCGTTTTCTTTTTAGAAGCTTTCAAACATGGATGGCAGCAGTGGTCACCTCTTGAGATCTACTTCCGTATTTCCTAAAGAAACTGCCCATTCGTTATCAAAAGTGGTTGCAGTATTTCGCATTTTCAACAGCAGTATATGCCGATTCCAGATATTCCATGTTATCGCCAATCCTTGATATGTTCAATCTTTTTAAATTCTAGTCAATTATTGGGTGTGAAGTGGGTGTGAAGTGGTCTCTCATGATATTAATTCTCATTTCCCTAATTACTAGTGGCGTTAAGAATATTCTCGCATACTTACTGGCCCGTTACATATCTTGGTAGTGTTCAAATCTTTAGCCCATTTTGAAATCGGGGTGCTTGTCTTATCACTGAGTTGTGAAAGTTCTTTCACAACATACATCGCGTTGTGTATGTTCTGGATAAAAGTCTTTTTGCAGATATTATGTTGTGCAAGTATCTTCACCATGTCTGTTTCTTCAAAAAGCAAACAAACAAAAAGGCCTTATCTAGGTATGACTGACCTACAATAAATTGAACACATTTTAAATGTACAACGCAATAAGTTTTAACACATGTATACACCTGTTAAACCATCTCCACAATCAAATTTCCTCTTGCTCTTTATTAATTCCTTCCTCTTGCCCTCTCATCCTGTTCTCCAGGAAACCACTAATCTGCTGTCACTGTACATTCGTTTTCATTTTCTAGAATTTTATGTAAGTGGAATCTTTCGGGATAAACTTTTTTGTTATTGTTCCCTATCTTCTTTCATTCAGGTTTCTTTTTTTTAATTGAGATTCATCCTCTTTGTTGTGTGCATCAACAGTTCATTAACTTTTGTTGCTAAACAGTATATTTCATTGTATGGATATATCATATATATTCACCTGGAGGATAGTTGGATTCATTGCAGTTTCTGACTTACAAATGAAGAGCTAGAACATTCATGTACAAATGTCTGTATGGATATTAGCTTTCATTTTGCTTGGGTAATACTTGAGTAATTAAATATCCAGTAAAATGGATAAATCCTTTTTTACTCATTTTTAAATAGTAAATTATCCTTTTTAAAAAACTGCTATTTTCCAAAGTTGTCATATCATTTTATATTACCACCAGTACTGTGTGAGAATTTGAATTGTACCATATCCTTATCAACACTTAGTATGATGAGTCTTTTTAAATTTTAGTCATTCTAAAAGGTATATAATGGTATTTTGTGACTTTAATTTGCATTTCCCTAATGACAACTTATACTGACCGTCTTTTCATGCACTTATTAGCCATCTGTATATGATTTGTGATGCTCTGTTCAAATCTTTTGCCCATTTTTCTTGGGTTTGTGTTATTTGTTGAGTTTCAAGAGTTCTTTGTATATTCTGGGTGCATATCCTTTACCAGATATATGATATGCAATATATTCTCCCAGTTCCTGGGTTCTTTTCATTGTGCTAACAGTTTTTCAAATAGTAGTTCTTAATTTTAAGTCCAATTTATCAATTATTTCTTTTATGGGTGGTGCTTATGGTCATAGCTAAGAAACTTTTGACTAACAAGATCACACAGATTTTTCTCATATGTATTCTTCTAGAAATTTTATAGTTTTATGTTTTATATTTAGATCCATGGCATATCTTAAATTAGTTGTATATTGTGGAGGTATGGGTCAAAGTTTGTATTTTTGCATTGGGAAATACAGCTTTTCCAGCACCAGTTATAAAGTTGGCTTTCTACCTTGGACAAAAATCTTTTGATCATATATGTATGGTTTTATTTCTGTACTCTATTGTATTCCATTGATCTGTTTGTCATTCTGGACACCAGTGCTACACAATTTTGATCTCTGTAGCTTTATAAGTCTCAAAGTCAAGTCCTCCAATTTTTCTTGTTCTTTTAAAAACCTTTTAAGCTTTTCTATGTCCTTGCATTTCCATATAAACTTAAGCTTGTCACGTTAAAAAAAAAAGCTGGCTAAAATTTTGACTGAGATCTATAATCAATTTGGTGAGAAATCATAGCTTAATATTGAGTCTTTGGATTCATTGATATGTTATCTCTCTTCATTTGTTTGGGTCTTTTGAAATTTCAGGAGCGTTTTATAGCTGTGTACAGGTCTTGCATATATTTTGTTAAACTTATCCCTAAATATCTCATTTTTATGCTATTGTAAATGTTACTTTAAAATTTTCAATTTCTAATTTTTATAGCTGTAAATACAATAGACATTTGTATCCTGTGCTGGTGATACACCTACTTATAACTTCTAATAGTTTTTTTTTTCAGTCATCAGAGCATTTCTACTTCATCATGTCATCTGCAAATGAAGACCATTTTCTTTCTTTCTATCCAATTGCATGCTTATTATTTCTTTTTCTTGTCTTACTGGACTAACTAGCACTTCCACTTCAATATTGTGTAGAGGTGAGAGCAGTCGTCTCCGCCTTCTTCCCAACATTAGGCATAAAGAATCCAGTGTTTTCACTATTAAGTATAATGTTAGCTACAGGCTTTTTATAGATGCCCTTTTCAAGTTAAGTTCCCTTTTATTTGTCACATGAATAAATGATGAGTTTTCTCAAATACTTTTTTCCTGCATCTATTAAGATAATCCCATTTTTCCTTTTAATTTGTTAATGTGAATTATTCAAATT